TGTCACAGCATCCCTGCCCCATGTCACAGCATCCCTGCCCCATGCCACAGCAGCCCTGCCTCATGTTACAGCAGCCCTGCCCCATGTCACAGCATCCCTGCCCCATGTCACAGCATCCCTGCCCCATGCCACAGCAGCCCTGCCTCATGTTACAGCAGCCCTGCCCCATGTCACAGCATCACTGCCCCATGTCACAGCATCCCTGCCCCATGTCACAGCATCCCTGCCTCGTGCCACAGCAGCCCTGCTTTGGGGCTAATCCTGCCCCTCGACTCCGGGCTGATCCCACCCTGGGGGACAGCAAAGGGCTCCTGTAGAAGGGGGACTCAGGAAGAGCAGCCAGTGGGTGGCCAAGGGACCTGGGCTGTCCAGTTTTTCAGGCTGACCTTGCCCCCACCATCCACTATCAGGTTGACAGGGGCAGCAGGGGAGGCTCTTGAGGCTTTTGTTTCCCTCTGCCTCCCCAGTTAGAGCAGAAAATCATCAGTTCACAGGATAAGGAAGATTCTTCCTTCCCGAATCCCAGTGTAGCGCCCAGATATCCCTAAATAAATCCACAAAGCCACTCTTCCTGTGGCCACCAGGGCCCAGGTAACCAACCCAGCTGGGGGAGAAATACATGGGGCAAAAACCCAAGGGGGAAAACACGCTATGATCAACACGCTATGATCAAACACAGCAAGGCCAAGGAGAGCCAGGGCAGCACAACCCTCCTTGTGCACGCACCAGCCACGTGCAGCCCTCACAGCCCCCGGCACCCCCGAGAGAGAGAGGGCAGAGGAAAAAATAAGACACACACGGACGTTTTCTTCTTCCAAGCAGGACCTGAGGAATCCCAGCCAGCCAGTAGGACAGACAATAGCCCATCTCCTGCCAGACAAGCGGGTCGCTTTCCTGCCAGACTTGGAATGTCCTTTCGGGGCCGTTTCCAAGCGCTTCCGCCCGCGGTGCCTTCACACATAAAAGAATGGATTCCTTCCTCCATCGTGCCCGGGCAGGGGTGGCCAGGGACAGCTGAGGGAATGGCCCCAGCCACGGCAAGTTCACGGGGCTGCCGTGCTTCCCGGGGGATTCAGAGCATG